TTTATAAGAATTGCAGATATAGCCGAGGTATAAAGTGGAGAACCTCGCCTGCAGCTATGATAAATGACAATAATTAAGCACGGTATTTTTACTCCTCCTATATATATAGTTATATATATCACTATGTACTTTGATTGTTTCTTGTCTTTCTATTCATATTATAGATTAAAAAGAAACACAGCATTCGATGCCAGTCAACAATCCCAGGCGTCACAACCTGTAGCTAAAAACATTGTATTATCGTACAAATTGAAAGGACACACTTCTAGTCCTTTCAATTCAAAGACGCATCAGAAAACTGTCCAGCATGGAAATGAAAATGTTATCGGTGACAACAAACTGATGGAATATCATCGTAACTTAAATAACATAAATTATATAGAATACACTAACAACCACCGAGAGCATTCCATAGGGAAACGGAAACAAATGTTAAGGATGGCGCATCAAATGACAAGTAAACGACAAAAACTAGGAAATATGTTTCAAGCTGACGATGACAATGCGGTTAACAAAGTTGTCGTTGTTGATTCATTGAAATTGAGTAAAAGTATCAAACACCACCACCACTACCACCATGGACACCATGACATTTCTGTGAAAAACAACAGCAACAGAAATATAAAACAAAGACAAGAACGCCACAAACGACAAAGATCCAAACGACATGATCTGAATGAAAATGAAAAAATATCGAATATCAATATTGAAAATGAGAATATGGAATTGAATACTCAACTACAAAATGAACTACAAAAACAACACCATCATCATCGTAGCCATCAACATAAGTTACATAGACACGATGAAAAACATCATCATCATCACCACCAGCCACATCATGCTCAACATGAATCCCACTCCACTCCGACCCTTGAGATTGGCCATGACTATGTAACTGAAGTCTCGGAGATATCATCACCGACATGGCAGGACACAAGCAACAACAACAAATACAAGCATTTTGACACTGTCACACATGAAGAAGCTATCGATAGCACGGCTGACTACCCAATTTCCGCCATCAACAAGCCATTGCCCCTGAAACAGATGAATGGAGACAACGATAATAGCGACTTTGTGTCGCACTCTTTGGCCAAGTTACCCACATTTCAGAATGAGAGTGTCCTTGGAGCGGACAACAGTGTATCATTCACTCACAGCGGTAGTCTTTTGGATGTTATGCCCAAATCTGTTGCTGACGGTAATGAAATTGATTTCATTTTAACGGTGATTGGGGAAATCGATGAGAAAATGTGGGTGTTGCTGATTGTCATGGCCATTTGTGCCCTGGTCTATTCGGGTAAGTTTTATAGTTTTTTTTTCTTTTTCGGATTGTTGTTAAACTATTTTTTATGAGTTACTTAGTCGTGTGGTTTGTACATAAATGATGTGGCACAGTGAGTAAACTTAAGTCGAATTTTACTTTTCTAAGAAAAGGAAATGTCTAGCGCTATAGTAGGGTTGAGAGAAATGTTCTATATATGAGTCGTTTATTTTGAAAATGTTTTATATACTGAAATATTTGAAGGTTGGGGTTTGATTTGTTTCAAAAATATTATTATGTGATATTAATATTGTTTGTGGCTTTGTGTCCTTAAATGTAAAAGAATATACAAATATTGAAAATTTTGTAGAAAACCGAAATTTGTATCAGAACCTAAAATGAACTTAAACCATTTTGAAAAATAACGACTCATATAATGGTTATATGTTTTAAGCAACTAATTAAATAGTTGTAAGAGATAACATAACACCCAGAAGGAATAACCCAATTTGAAACTAATACTAATGAACGGTTTACTAGATACCAATAGTCGAATGTGGAAATTGTCAGGAACGAGTAGGTATACACATAACGCAAATGTATCTGCATTTTGAAATTCCACGTTGGTCTTTATAAAGACCTTTTCAAGAGTAATGACAGATGTGGAATATTTTTGTTCCAAATATTTACTTTCACTCGACTTATTTTCAGAAAGGATCGGTATACTGATCAATTGGTATTTCAATAGGCATCATACAGGCCAGTTGGTCTTTATAAAGACCTGTGGTCTCAATACAGACCTATTTGTCTCAATAAATCCAATTTTAATATTAGGTTGGGGGAAAATAAATCCATAATTTTTTCGGCGATCAAACAATTTCAGATTTATTCTCCTTGGAAGGGTGACATTTTGCAGTAAAAAAAAATATTTTGCTGTTTTTTGTTTGGTGTATTCAGTTGTGAGTTACAGGGTATTAAAAATGTATACGAAAAAAGTGAAAATTCGGTACATTTTACAGTTTTTCATTGACAAAGGCGAAAATGCATGCCAAGCGGCTTAAATTGTGAATGGTGTTTATGGTTCCGATACTGTAACATCCGATTATGTGCAATTTCGGTTTCGTAGATTCCGGTTAGGAAATTTTGATGTTAAAGATGCACCTCGCCGATCGTCGAAAATGTCGATAAAATCGGAGAAATGATCGAAGTTGATCACCTAGGAGCTAAAAGTCAGCCATAAAACTGTTTGAAACCACTTACAATTGACCAGAATTGACCTACAAGAGAGGTGTCGTGTTCCACCAGGACAACAGTAAGAAAAACACATCTACAGTAACTTGCCAGAAACTTCGAAACGATTGCATTGTACAATTTCTTTAACCTTCCCAAAATTGGTATATAGGGAGGATTGTGAAAATCGACTACTAGAGTTTTTATACCCATATATAGTTTCGCCCGATTTTAGGTAAATGTTCCATTAAATTCTCTGCAAATCTTTTGATTTGCACGAATTTTGAAATAGCGTAATGAATTAAGTCTAGAATGATGTGTGTTAAGTTTCCTGAAAATCGGTCCAGATTTAGATATAGCTCCCAAATATATGTTCGTCCGATTTAATGTAAATGGTGTACCAAAGTCCCTATATATCTTTCAATTTGTACGAAATTTTGCATAGCGTAAAGAATTAGGTCTAGCATGATGTGTGTTAAGTTTCGGGAAAATCGGTTCAGATTTCGATGTAGCTCCCATATATATTTTCATACGATTTTATGTAAATGGTGCACCAAAGCCCCTATATAACTTTCGATTTGCACGAAATTTGGCATATCGTACTGAATTAAGTCTAGAGTGATGTGTGTTAAGTTTCGTGAAAATCGGTTCTCGGTTCACAAAATTGTGCACAGCGTAGTGAAGTTAGTATAGCCTAACGTGTGACAAGTTTCGGTTAAATCGGTTCAGATTTGGATATAGCCTCCTATTTTAAGTAATTCCTCCTATTTTAAGTAAATCATACACCAATGACCCAAAATATGGCCAATATCACTGGTTTCTTACTGGTTTTTTACAAAAACAGAGCAGGCCTTCTATGAGAGAGGCATTATGAACTTACCTTTAAAATGGCAACAAATCATACAACAAAACGGTGCATATTTGGCCCTAATCGGATATTCCAAAGCATGGTTAATAAAGTCCTATAGTTCATATAAAAATAATGGATTTCTTTTTCCCCAACCTAATATAAGACGAAGACTACTTAAGTTGTTCGTGAAGGAAGCAGTTCGACTTATTCGATAAAACCACATTTTGCTTTCTTACAATCTTCGGACAAATTTGCAATACGAACAAGAGAAGACGAGTCGACGAAACGAGTTCTAACACATCGACACAAATCAGCGTCTATTTGGCTGATAAAAACTTGGACTTGATATACCATCCGTGATACGGCACTGACTTGATCTATAGGTGTTTCGACGTTGGAAATACGTAAAATATATGGACTATTGAGGTGCAGTCCAGCGTTCCAGCGTCGAATCTCGACCTTGTGGGCTGCCACCTTTGCGTACTCGCGGTTTCATAAAATGGAGATTAAATTGGATTTGTAATTTAGTTTGCAACTCCTCGAAATATGCTCCAATAATGCGATAGGATAGAGTTTTTAAAATTATTAAGGATATAGTTTTTAAAATTCGATTACTCCTAGTATATTCGTTATTGAATATCGTATACATAGGCCGACGTTGTGGTATTATCTCCATGTAACGTACAGCCTCCTATAATCGGTATTTTGATGTATTTGAGAACGTTTTCCGTCTGTAGTTAGTATTTTGAGTTCTAATTGGGTAGAAAAATCTTTTCAAAATTGTTCCCTTTTTAACCGAATTAACTTTAATTTGATATTTTGCGAGCTTATTGGATGATAAATCGTTTCACCAAAACTTATAAATAGCAGTTGATCAACAACAACACCTTTATAGGAATTTTGATGGTACTAGCCGAATTTGCCTAGCGATATTAATATATTTTAGCATTGCATAACATATACTTTTTTTGATAATAACTTCCTTACATAACATTTTCAATATTTTTCCATATCACACACAAAGACAACGCGATATTTCCTGTATGCTCAAGGTCCTAGCCCATAAAAAATTCCGATCAATATTATAAATTTCAAATGGCCATCTCATGGTGAATGGTATAAGAAGTTCGCCCCGGTCGAAATTAACGACGTTTAAACATAATTTTTTAGCATATTATGAATGAAAATCCGACAATTAATCTCAAAATATTACATTCTCTTTAAAATGCCAAGATAACACCTCTTATTAAAAAATCATGTAGTTATAACATATGACAATATTTTGTGAAAAATAAATACTATTTCGTAATAGTGTGCCTCAGATTTCTCAGAATAATCTAGTATTAGGTTTTTTAAGATTTTCGTTTTTTTTTAGATATGAAGTTTTCCACTTCCTATACTTCCAAAACAATTTCCTTTATCACTATTGAACGTTTCCCATTACCGTAATCTTATTTACATATTTATATCATTTGCAGTCCTGCTGTGTATCCTGTCAAAACCAGCAATGAATGAAATATTTTTGGTACTCGTGTCTTATGTAATCGTTGGTACATTTGTGGCCATACAAATTGCCGTGGGCTATTCAACACTACCAAGGTAAGTAGTAGAACGGAATGAAAACCATAGCAGATAAAGGCCGGGTAAATTATTATGGGTGGGGAAGTTCGCTCAATACAGTAAGTAATTGTTTTAATCAAATGATAGCACCGGAGAGGGTTTAACACAAAAAACGTGCAGTGAATTTCAATGTGTATTCTTTGAATTAAATTTACGGCACAGTACACTTTGTTGAGATTGCTTTGCCATATTTAATAATGTAATGTTATTTATTGGAATACCCAGAAATCGGTTATTTATATGCTACAAAAAATAAATAAATAAATTAAGCGAAGAAAATTAGAATTTATGTTAAAGATAATTTGCAAAAATTCATATTGAATTAAGTTTTTAGTATGTGTTTTAATAATATTTACACTAATTAATTCCCATCGTTGTACTAACATGAACATGTACATTATCTTCTCTATTATAGCAAATCATTTAATGGCTGTGCTTGTTGTGTCATCTTTGTCTACATGACATACACAATGCTGCCATTGCGTCAGCGAGAGTCCCTGGTCGGTGGTATCATATTATCAGCAACACAGATTTACACTACCATAAGCCATGTGGAGGATACATACCAATGGCAAGAGGTAAATATTTTTTCCAGGATAAGTTTGAAAAATAATATCTCGTTTATTAACTATTTGAACATGATCATAAACACATTTTATTCAACAAAAATAATAAATTTACTCTTTATGGTTTCGCCTGATTCGGCACTTCCAAACTTATTGATTTTTCATAACTATAGACGCACTCATACAAAATTAAATAATAATATTTTTAAAAAATTTAAATAAAATAACATTAATTAAAAATGGTTAGGGCCTCCCTTATTTTGAATAAGTTCAAAAATTCTATTCATCATACTGTCTATGAATTTTTTTTTTTTGGAAATCTTTATCGATTGAGTCTAGAGTGATGTCCGCCAAGTTTCGAAAAAATTGGTCCACATTTAGATATAGCTCCCATATATAGTTTCGTCCGATTTCATGTAAATGTTGCTCTAAAGTCCCTATATATCTTTCGATTTGCACCAAATTTGGCATAACGTACTGAATTGAGCCTAGAGTGATATCTGCCAAGTTTCGAGAAAATCGGTCCAGATTTTGATATAGCACCCATATATAGTTTCGTCCGATTTCATGTAAATAGGGCACCAAAGTCCCTTCGATTTGCACGAAATGTGGCATAACGTACTGAATTGAGCCTAGAATGATGCCTGTCATGTTTCTTTGAAATCGGTCCATATTTAGATATAGCTTCCATATACAGTTTCGTCCGATTTTATGTAAATGGTGCACCAAAGTCCCTATATATCCTGTAGGATCATTAGAATAATTAAACAGGAAGTAGCAAACTCAAACTCAACCGACATATGGAGTGGCCTTAATCGGCACAGAATTTTACTCGGATCTTCAAATATATATAGTAAAGTACGATTATAGCGAACTAGTAGGGGCCGAGTAAATTAGTTCGTTATAGAAGAAGTTTGTTATATCCAAGGTTAGGCAAACCCCATATATTCCTTTTCCAAATTGCCAGTTTTTGTGTCATTATACCCTATTTTTGACAATAATTAAGCTGCTTCGCTTTTTTTTGACATTTTTTAAAGGTTGTCATCGTTAGGTATTATGTATATTTGCAACAAGATCGTTATAACAGAATTAAAATAAATGAAAACTAGAAATTGGTACCGAATAAATAGCTAGTTATAAGAAAAGTTCGCAATATCCGTAGTTCGCTATAAGAGTAAAGATTTGTATGAAAAATCTATCTTAAAACTTCGGGACCAGAAAATGTGTTCGCTATAAAGAAATTTCATTATAAGAGTATTCGACTGTATGAATATTTTGATGTGTTGCAAAAGGAATGACTGAATTGTTGAGAGTATTCAAATTGTATTGGGTTATTAAAGACATTTTGGGTTCTTCGACTCCTACTCTTTACTATTTTTAGTGAACTTAAGTTTACAAAAAATAGGAAATAGTCTCATTCTATAGTAAACTTTAAATATTCATGGTATATATTACATAAAATTAACATAGTTTTAGTTAACCTGCAAAAAAAAAATACATATAAAATAAATAAACAAACGAAAACTTGGCATTATCCTGCATATGTTTAATTGAAACGGTATCTTCGTATTTTACCTTTACCCTTAACAGGATTGCTTCCAGTCACATGTAATCGTATTCTGATCTCATGTTTGTTTTCATTTCCTTTGTTTTATTTTTTTTTTTTTTTTGAATAAAATACAAATAAAAATAAATATATATGTCGATGGTTTTTTATTCATAGATTTGATTAAGCTTATACAATAATACAACAACAACAACGTCTAGACAATGCTATGTGAACCAAATAATAAAAATAAAAATTTATTGACCATCTACTGTTTTTTTTTGCCATTGTTGTATTTGGTTGTGTGTGTGTGAGTAAGATACCCCTAACTAACATGTTTTGTATTTTTGTTTTCTCATTTCCTCTTTTTTCTCCTTTGTTTATTTCTGCCTTCTTCCGGTCAACATGGTTTCTGCTGTTTTCACATTTGTTGCCGTTGTTGCTGTTGGCAGTTATTCAGCACTTTAATGGCTTTATTTTTATCAAATCTGACCGGCATTTATACCCATTGGCCCAAGGAGAAGGCACAACGTAAAGCATTTATCGAGACGCGTCAGTGTATTGAGGCTCGTCTGCGAACACAACGAGAAAATCAACAACAGGTATGTATCAAACTATATATGTGTGTATTCATCTATATGTATGTGTCATTTACAAAAATGTACACACTTTTAAACAAACTGACAAACAAATAACAATTACAAAATAGTTGAATGAATAAGCCTGCGTACTCTTTGGTATAAAGGACATTGTTCGGCAATTTACACAGGTGAATAATTAAATTCGTCCATTAAACGAACAACAACGGCGTATTTCTCCTTCAGTATTTTAGTCATATATTTGAACGTCAAGATGGACAATTCAAAATGTATTTATATTGAAATATAATTACAGAAGAAAAGTACAAAACTTGGAAGTGTCCGACCATATGATACCCTTCATCATTTTGGCTATACGCAAGAAATACTGCTTAGATTTTTATTGTAAGAGGCGTGGTATGTGTTAAGGATGATTGTCGTGAAATCGGTCGAATATATAATATATTTCAAATTTTCAAAAAATCAGTTTTTTTTGTTTTTGTGGTATATTAATGATTTTTGGAACACATATAGAGAAAAATTTTCTGACTCCGAAACCGTTTTTTGGTTGATGCGCGCGAAATTTTTAATTTTGGGCATAAGAAACAAATCTTAAAATTATGCCGTTTATTATATTGACCAAAATCGCTGATACAGATCTTCTTCCGTAAAATAAGAATATTAATATATTATAATAATAGCGATAAATTTGCACATCTTAGCGAAATATGATAAAAATATAGGAGATTTCGTCAATATTTTCATACTCACACCTAAACATTAATTTAAAAATATCTTCATAATCTAAACACCATGATGAATCAAATGATATCAACAAGTCCGTGTAGCGGTTTGTAAATTACAGCGAAAACAAAACAACACATTGAGGAAAAATATTTGTTTTTGGTTCAAAGAAATAATGTCATCATATTTATTTTTATACCCTACACAACTATGTTGTCAGGGTATTATAGCTTTGTGCATCCCCAAAAGTTTGTAACGCAGCGAAATATTGGTCCTAGACCCACCTTTAAGTATACCGATCGTCATATCTCGACTAGTTGAGTCGATCTAGACATGTGTGTCCGTCCGTCCGTCCGTCTGTCCATTATAATTTGTAAACACGATACAGGCCACAGTTATGGACCAATCTTCACGAAATTTTGCATGTAGGACGGGTTCTGGCCAATGAAGACCCCTATTGTTTTTGGTAAAGATCGGTTAATATTTAGGGGGTGAAATTGACCATATACTAAATTTTTGTCGATGTTTCTGGTCTCTCCAGAGGCCGCAATTATGATCCGAACATCGCGAAATTTTACATGGAGAAGAGGATCGGGCCAAAGAATAAGCATGCATGTTTTGATAAAGATCTGTCAATATTTGCCGGGTCAAATAGACCCTGACTTTTGTGTGAAAAATTACAATTTTTTTATTCTGGGGCGTATATACTTGCTCCTGAAGGACATATGCCCGAGAAGTTGCACTTAAATATTTACAGGTGCTTCCTGTAAATAAATCACTCTAGAGGGCGGAAATATAGCGCTGATCACTTTGAAATTTTCCATGAGGATCCAGGTATGGTCAAGGACAACGACTATATTTTTCGGTGATGATCAGATAGATTAGGAAGAGGTGCTGTTGCCTCTAAACGGCAAGAAGGTGAAGCTATAACGAAATATTACCAAGGCTCGGAATAAAAATCCGCAGAAAGATAGAATTCCGTAGTAGTTGTGTAGGGTATCGTATGGTCGGCCCCGTCCGACTATACTGCTCCGCTCACTGGTTTAATTTTATATATGAAATTTCAGAAAAAAATGTTAGGGTTATTCTTCTATTTTAACCGAATTTTGCCGAAAAATTTATATATATATATATATATATATATATAATCACTCCTTGTGCATATGTATACACTTGCGGATAAATTCCGATAAATTTTGGGGTTCTATAAATAGGAAAAAATATTAAAATAATACTATGAAATATACATTTTAAATTGTCTCTAAGTCGCGTAATTCTCAAAATCATTTGATGCGCATGCGGTTTCCAGGAAGTACTGAAGTTTATCTTCCAATCCATATATATTTTGCGAAACTTCATTTGACGGCTAAGATTTACTACATGTTGCGTTGAAGTACCCAAAAACTCGTAAAACGCGAGTAATTTCCGAAAACTGTATATGCCATTAAAGCACATCCGATTTCAGTGTGAACCCTATAAAAATACATCGATTTATGGATGACCTATGAGCTCAATCTATTTTTGAGATAAATTAGGTACATCTATCTTTCGGCTGAAGATTTTAATACTCTCTTTTCGCAAAAGTACAAAATCCCTAACAGGTCATTTATTGAAACGGAAATTATCCAGAGAAAACGCAAATAAATCCGCGATATTTTCAAAATATATATCAAATTACTCAGATTCGCGACTACAATAATCTTAAAATCGATTTTTAGAAATTCCTGTTTGCGCTTTAAAACTAGAAGTAAAATTCAAAAAACAGTCAAAATCGATCTTTGAAATGTCAGCAAAATTTAAAGTAGATGCAGTTTAAATTTTGAAAAATGATACATAAGGGGCGTATTCCCCATTTTGTTGGCTTCTAGTTTTACTTTGACACGAAGACCGTGGAATGAGTGGCTTAATCACAAATCGATGGAGAACATAAAAATACTGGTGGGCCTCAAACTGTTTTTACACATTTTTTATACCCTTCTACACACTGTGGTACAGGGTATTATGTCTTTGTGCATATGTTTGTAACAGGCAAAAGGAAACGAGATAGACACATGGTTCCTTTTGAAAATATGCATATAATCACTTTTTAAGTAGATTTATGCATGTCCGTCTTTCCGTCCGTCCATGTATTTTTGTTAACAAAGTACAGGTCGCATTTGTGATCCGATTTGGATGAAATTTGGCACAGTTCACTTATTTGGCCCAAAGACGAACCCTATTGAAATTGGGAAAAATCGGTTCGTCCGGTATTAGGTAAATAGGGCACCAAAGTCCCTATATATCCTTCGATTTGCACGAAATTTGGCACAGCGTACTGAATTAAGCCTAGAACGATGTGTTTAAATTTCGTGAAAATCGGTTCAGATTTAGATATAACTTCCATATATATTTTCGTCCGATTTTAGGTAAATAGTGCATAAATAAATGTAACCTAACATGTGACAAGTTTCGATGAAATCGGTTTAGATTTCTATATTTTGCTTCAAATTTAATTACATAATTGTGTCCATTTGTAAAAAGCAACTCTATATCTGACCAAAATTTAGTATAGGTTGCAGAATGACATGTGTAATTTCATGTTAATGGTCCTTCAAAAATGCGACGTCTGTTAGGATTCTCTCTGTTGGATTTCTGTTGACCTTTTGTGGGGGAGATCCCGACGAATTTACTGAATTTGCATTTCAGGTGGTGGAGGGTATTTAAAGTTCGGCCCGGCGTAAGCGACGTATTAAGAAGAGTAGGAATATTCCTCATGTTTGTTGCTATGGTACATTAATTGCCCTTTCCACCATGAGGAGACAAAAATAGAAACAAACATTCCGATTTTACCATCACAAAGGGGGTATCGTACCGTTGTATGGTGGCTTCCCAGAAACTTCGGTCAATATTAATAATTTTTAGTATGGATATGTATTATTCAATCAGAACTCAAAATATCAAATTACTACCAATTCGGTTCGAAAACCTGTTCAAAGTCCTCAAATTATCTAATATTGAGGGGGGAACCGTTATATGGGGGCTATCTTAAAACTTGGGTCACTATTAATAATTTTTGATACAGTTGTGTGTTATTCAATGAGAACCAAAAATACCAAATAACAGCCAATTCGGTTGGAAAACGTGTCCAAAATGCCCAAAATACCGAATTGGTGGTGCCGTTATATGGAGGCTACACCAAAACGTGGACCGATAAATCAATTTGCAATGCCAAACATGCTAAGAGTACTAGTAATGTCTATGTAAAATTTCAGAGCTCTTTCTTAAATATTGCGATTTCTATCGTGATTTCAACAGACAGACCGATATGTGTAAATCGACATAGAATATATAATAATTTCTGGGGTCTCCGGTGAATATTTCCAGGTTTTGCAAACGGAATGACAAATTTAATATAAATTTGTCATTCCGTTTGCAAGGGTGTGAAAAATAAGGAGATATTAGGAAAGTGCCATCGTCGAACGGGATGACGATTCGGTACATATATATATATATATATATTGAAGTCTAGAAGTACGTGAATCGGCTCAAATTTAAATATAACACATGTGCCTCAATCAATGCCTTTATACATAATAAAATACATTAATATAATGTTACTTCGTTCTTAAATTAATATACATAACAAAAGAATAAATAATTTATTCTATAAAATTGTGAAATTTTTTATTCAATTTATATAATACCATTTCACTATCTCGCCAATGTTTCCCTCCAATTGAAAATCATTCATGTTTTATATGTTCATCGTTTTTTCCTATTGTCCACGGTATTTTTAAATTCCTGCATAAATAAATACGAAATCCCCATTGATATTACTCGGCTCCATGCCCTGTCATTTCCAGCATTTCAGCATAAACAAAACATTCGCATGTATCGACATTGATTTTGTACTCGTATTGATTCTAGCAATCATCAGAATACCTGTTAAGCTCCTTTTCGGCTCGAATACAAATGTTCAATAAATATTATTCTATATGGTGGTGGTTCGTTTATGAGATTTATGTGCTTCGCATTTTTTGCTGGATTTTTAAAAATGTTTACTTTTTCTAACAATTTATTTGTAGATATATGTATAGGTATGTATTTTGGGGTTTGTTTGTCCATTGATTGTCGATTTATAACATGTATCTGCCATTATCCGATATCGGTTTTTGGGTTAAATTGAAAATAAATAGAAATTGTAGGTACCCTTGTCAATGCTAACAAGTTAAGTAAGTGCGATAGTGCGGGAATGTCGGAGGGAGTGAAGTAGATATATGTGTGCCCCCTTTGCACCAATATCAAAGTTCAAAATTACAAAATAACGCACCGTAAAACCATTTGCATGTAGAATGAAACTTGTTATCATATCTGCACATGTTGCTTTGCAAATGTGTCAGAAAATGGGCTAACATTTTTGCAATTCTTTTTGTAAACTAAACAACAAAAATGAAATTTTAAATCTACGTAAGAAAAGTAAATGGAACATGTAAATAAAATTATTTTAATTTGTGCTGCCAGTGTGCCGTAGACTTGTCCAATTTTTGAACCGATTTATCCGAATGTTATACACAAATATTGTTGTGAACTTACTACCAGGGGGTACTAATATTGTACCACGTAGATGTAAGATAATTCTGTGCTAGAGCTAGGGTTATTGTTCGTCGACAAGTATTTCTTGGTTGACCTCGATTTCGTTATCCTTGGAGATACTATTCAAGCGTCATTTCCAGGTTCGTTACGTTCAACTGCTCTACGTTAATTATGGTGTTAAGCCAGACTTTGTGGATATAATACTGGGGCATTTTTTAGATACAAGCTGGGGTACGTCATTGCTCTATTTTGAGTGTTGGTCTGGTCTACATAGGTCTACTTTATTTTTGGTCTGAAGTCAACTTGTAGGAGTGAACCGATTAGTCCCATCTTCGGATTTCATTTAGGCGTATAGGTTGTGCACAGTTTGGTTAAAATGGAACATTCCATTCACATGATATTGCATTTATAATATTGAAAATGTTGACCATTTGTGGGGCCGTTACCAGAAGAAGTGGACCAATTGGTCTTATTTTTGGACTTCATCGATGCTTGGTAAAGATAATAGGTTACACAAAGTTTTGTTAAAGTTCCACAGTCAGTTCGCATATAAATTTAATTTTTGTACAATTTTGACCATTTTGTAAGTATTTCGTGTATAAAACATTCCAATTTTTAAGGCCGTATTGCATTTCCCCATAAATATAAATAAAAGTATAAAGTTTTTAAAAGATTTTTGAAAAGAAAAAGGACACAAATTTTGAAATGTTGTTCAATCAGCCATATACAGAAAGTGCCTATATTATTCCCTTTACTTGTTTTTGTCTTTAAAAATAATCTTTTAATATTGTTCGAAATTACATATATAATACCAAACGTGCTTCTATTGACGAAAATGGAATGGAAAAGCTATTTCTGATGGTGTGTCTGGCCTTGAGACGTCAATGATCAATAATAAATTGTTCTAAAATTGTGAAATTCGGAACACTAAAAAATAAGTCATTTCATTATTATTATTATTTTTGTTAAAAGTAAAATCGGACGACAGTATATATGGGAGATATATAAAAATCGGAATCGATTTTAACTAATACTTTACAAAAATCAAGCTGGACTTAATTATGTATGCTGTGCAAAATTTTGTCTCAATCGGACAAATATTGGGAGTTTGGTGCACTTTTTAAATAAAATCGGAGGAAAATATATATGGGAGCTATATCTAAATCTGAACCGATTTAACAAAAACTTCGCATACGTCTATCAGCACCTAACACAGTCCAGTGCACAAAATGTTGTCTCAATTGGTTTACCCTTGGAGTTTGGTGCACCATTTACAAAAAATCGGACAAAACGAAATATAAATCTGAACCGATTTCTAAAAAAATTTGTATACGTCTATCTGAACCTAAATCAGTACGCAGCGTAAAATTTTGTCTCAATCGGACAAATATTGGGAGTTTTGTGCACTATTTACATAAAATCGGTCGAAAATATATATGGAGCTATATTTAAATCTGAACCGATTTCAATAAAACTTCACAGACATTAAACTGGACCTAATTTAGTGTGCTGTGCAAAAGCTTGTCTCAAACGGACAAATATTGGGAGTTTCGTGCACTATTTACAAAAAACACAAAATCGGACGAAAATATATATGGGAGCTATATCTAAATCTGAACCGATTTTATGAAAGCCATATCTAATCTGAAACGATTTTCTACAATTTCCATAGGGTTTGTCCGTGGGCCAAAAAAGTTTCTCGTGCTAAAATTTATCCAAATCGGATCATAAATCCGACCTGTGCTTTGTTCACAAGAATGCATGGACGGACGGACGGGCAGATGGACATGCATAAATTAACTCATAAAGTGATTCTATACATATTCTAAAAAGGGACAATGGCTCTATCTCGTTTCGTTTTGCCTGTTACAAACTAATGAACAAAGACATAATACCCTGTATCACAGTGTGGTGAATGGTAAAAAAAATCGAAACCGTATTGGGTACTTCCACTCACCTACCAATCACCACACTGTGGTACAGGGTATTATGTCTTTGTGCATATGTTTGTAACAGGCAAAATGAATAGAGATAGGCCCATGGTTCCTTTTGAGAATATTTTTGTGAAAAAAGTACAGGTCACAATTATAATCCGATTTGAATGCACAGCGCACTGAATGCAAAGTTTTGTTAAAATCGGTTCAGATTTAGATATAGCTCCCATATATAGTTTCGTCCGATTTTTTGTGAATGATACACCAAACTCCTAAAATTTGTCCGATTGAGCAAAATTTTTGTACAGCGAATGCAATTGAGGAAAAAATAATGTGTGATAAGGTTTGTTGAAATCGGTTCAGATTTTGGTATAGTTCTTATATGTACTTTCGTTCGATTTTATGTCAATGGTGCCCCGAAGGGCCTATGTTTCTTCGATTTACACGAAATTTGGTAGAGGATATTAAATTTAGTTCCGAGTGATAACAAAAAACAAATGGTGTATGCAACAATTGCTCAATTAAGTCCATGTGTTTATATATAGCTCCCATACGTAATTTTACTCGATTTCATACAAATGGTACATCAAAGAATCCCGTGCCCTTTTGACATGCAATTTTTCATTGATTTCAGAATGGTATTGGGGTTTTCAATGGGTTCAAATATCTAGATAGCACATTTAATTTCACCCGATTACATCTGAATGGTCCTCCAAAGATTCTATGTCTTTTCCATCTACAGGATATTGTAGATATTGATATCCCTTGTATATACCCAAAGTGGTGAAGGGTATCATATAGTCGGCCCCGTCCGACTTTTGAACTTTCCTTACTGGTTATATTTGAATATCATTGCTGGTGGTCTTGTTCATGGTATTTACCAACCCTGAAAAGCATCAAGCCGTTTTGTGTATTTTGGCAATTTGTTAAGATTGATTTAACCTGTCTTGTATATGGAATGTCATAAACACAATTTTGTCTGGTCTAATAACATGTTTCAATAATTTTCCCCAAATTTTAACCTTCCATTTGAACAGATATTTTTCATTGACAAATAATAAATTAATTTTTTGGTATTAACTTGTTTCTATACTTTCATTCTATTCACAATTTTCCCATTGTTCCCGCTGCAATTTCCGGCTGTAACAAAAAGGAACGTCTTTTACTGTCAGTGCTGCCGAGGCATGTAGCCATGGAAATGAAAGATGATATCGCAGGACAACCGCGTGACACACAATTTCACAAGATCTATATACAACGACACGAAAATGTCAGGTGAGTTTCGAAGCACAATGGAAAATTTAAAATGACCCCCCTTCCACAGATTTCTGAGTTTGAAATAATTCCCAACAACGCATGCACACATCCGTACATATGTACATTCTCGTGTGTATGTAGGGGTGTATGTAATTTGTAAAAGATAACTGATTCTTATTAAAAATTACTTTAAAACATAACAAATGTAAACATATGAGTTTACGGTAATTACAATGACTTATTTTGTGTTAGTGTGTGTGTGTGTTTGTATGTCTGTTCATATATCCTCTTAACTTGCCCCCTCGTATCAGAAAACGTGATGTGTTGCCAATGAATGGAAGTCATGTTAAGAACTTCACAATAAGTCAAGTGAATCATTTGAGAATAAAAATGAAACAGAATGAAAAAAAACACACACAGACACAAATGTGAACATCTATTCAAAATCACAAAATATGTCACATAATTCCAAACGCGTGTGATGGCCTTCATGTGTACGTATGTGTATCGGTGTGGGTGTGCATATGTATTAAGTTTTCCTTCTCAAGTTTGATAAATTTAATGCTGTTTTTTATGATTTGATACAAAAATGAAGATGTATGCAAATGGCAACTGTAATGACGATGTTTATTTGGATGATAAAAAAACAACAACAACAACAATTGAGAAATGCTTTTGTTTGCCACAAACAACACTCCTTCAACAAATGTCAAAAACACATACAATTCAACACGAAGGTTATTAAGTTTTCATGAAGACTGAAAGCCTCATTCTTTCCACTCCCCTTCTTCCTCAGTTTTTTCAGTTATAGAAAAAAATGACACACCATCTTATTTATTCAATTGTATTTTATTTATAGGAGCACTAAGAGATTTTTTTCCAGTGATTGAAAACACTCGTTGTGGTAGTAACAGGTGGGGGTGATGTAATGCGAATTTGTGTGGAAAATAAAGTGACACGTTTTAAAATGTTAATAAATATTAATATAACGCCTGGCTAACTGAGGTTGTCATTGGAATCATCTATAATAATATGCATCATCTTGGTGGAAAGGTGGAAATTCTTTTTTTTACGAAAGCCTTTGCTGATATGATAGGAATAAAAATGCGTCATAGGTCAAATTTGAGCCTTTTCCGAAATTTTTTAGGTAACCTCGAGTGAAAGATTTTTTTGGAGAGCATCTAGAAATGAAATAATAAAGAAATAATAAAAAGCCAGTAAAGAAAGTAGTAAAGTCGGACTGGGCCGACTATATATTACCCTTCACAACTATGGTTATATTTTACATATCGTCAGCTAAAATGCAAAAAGGTGTAACTAAAAAAATCATAATTGTGTAGGAGAAGCAAAAAACAGTTTTGAATGAAAACTAAAAACATGTCATGTGAAATGAAAAAGTATGCCCGGCTGGGTGATATTGCATATGACGAATACTATACTTTATCAAATAATACATTTATCAAATAAACCCACTTGTAGTTACGTCTTTTTGTTTTTTGTTAATAGAAGCTCCTCTTTTGACCGCAGACGTGTAAAACATTGTCAACACATATAGTTTATTGACATTCACAATATTCATTCAAAAAGTCAATTTTCAATTTTTTGTTAGTTACGCCTTTTTGCATTTTAGCTAACGATAAGTCTCGCAACGTCGCCTTTTCGAAAGTTTAGAGTCGTTTTCGAACAATGGGACAAATTTATGTAAATCGATTTAGAGCAAACTTTATACAAGCTATTCGGTAGAATGCACTCTTCAAAATTTAATCTCATTTAGACACCCGTTTGAAATATATATGAAAGCTCTGTCTGCATCTGCATTAACTTTAACAAAACGCAACGATGCCATTCTGTTGTGCAAAATATCGTGTAAATCGGACAAACATTAGGAGTTTGGTGCACCATTTAACTAAAATCGGGAACTATATCTAAATCTGAACTGATTTTCAGGAAACTTAACACACCTCATTATAGACTTAATTCAGTACGCTGTATAAAATTTCGATATATAGGGACTTTGGTGCACCACTTACATTAAATCGGACGAAAAAATATATGGAAGCTATATCTAATTTTGAACCGATTTTTCCAATAGGGTTCGTCCTTGGGCCAAATAAATGAGCTGAGTCAAATTTCATCCAAATCGGATATTAAATGCGACCTGTACATAGTTTACAATTTAACATGGATAGAAAGTGATTCTATGCATATTATCAAAAGGAACAATGGGTCTATCTCATTTCCGTTTGCCTGTTACAAACATATGCACAAAGACATAATACCCTGTACCACAAACCAGTAAAGTAAGTCGACTAGACAAGTGGTCCTAACATTCTTTTTGTTATTTTTCAATGATTTGGTCGCTTATGAACAATTAGCCGTATCCCCAACGGCGTCCTCGGGGCAGATATCATCTCAATAGTCAAATTTGGAAAAATGTCAATAATGATTTGGGGATGCATGACAAGCAAATCGTTGAATTGTGAAGGTTATGCTCAGTCTTTCCTTCGTCTGCAATGGTGTGCTGAATCACGAATTCTTAAGGCCAATAAAGAATACTACATAGAATTTATGCACCATTTGGGCGAAACTATTCGCCAGAAACGCACAGAATTGTAGAAAACCCTATCAACCCTATTGACGTCACACCATTGCATCCAGAAAATGTCACTGTTTGATACCCTCTTTGGTCCGAAGATCTGGTTGGGTCTTACATTCTCGAAAAGGTGGAACTTTTTGTCACCTTATTTTCGTAAAATCGCTATGTTTATTATATACCGTTATTAAAAAAAGTGTTTATTTTGGTTGCTTTGGGCGTTATAAACTAAAATTCGCTGTCGTTTGTATGTATATAGGGATGACATGGTGTTTACAATTGACTAGACCTGTAGTCTTTAGTTCATCTAATTTGAAAAACAAGTTTTATAATTAGTGGAGTAGAAAAAAGTTTCTCCCTTTTTATTTGAGTTGTGTAAAGTGTTCAACGTATAAACAAATCAGCTGCGGAGGCTTGCGGCCTTAAAAGTTATTTGATACCACTATTGATACATACAAGGCATGCTAATATATACAATAACCGGTAGATAGAACAGATATATACTCTTTAGAGGACCACTGAAATGGAATCGGGCGAATCTAAATATGTGATGTCACATGTCATTCTGCAAGCTATGCTAAATTTTGTAAATCGATTTAAAGCAAACTTGACACACATTATTTGGTATTCTGCATGGTTTAAAATGTAATCTCAATCAGACATCCATTGATTACTTGGTGTACAATTAACATCAATAGATTTAAATTATATATGCTATATCTATATCTAAACCGATTTCAAGGGAACTTGACAGAGATTAATTATATACCAAATTTCGTGCAAATCCAAAGATATATAGGGACTTTGGTGCACCATTTACATTAAATCGGACGAAAATATATATGGAAACTATATCTAAATCTGAACGGATTTTCACCAATTCCAAGAGGGTTCGTTCTTGAGCCAAATAAATGAGCTGTGCCAAATTTCATCCAAGTCGGAAAGTGATTCTATGCATATTCTCAAAAGGAACCATGGGTCTATCTCGACTCCTTTTGTTACAAACATATGCACAAAGACATAATACCCTGTACCACAGTGTGGTGAAGGGTATAAAAATGCAAAGTCCGTAACAGCAAAATGCTAAAAAATGTGCTAAATGTTAAATAAAAATGTTGCGGCTGAATCAAAACATAAAATGCTAAATTTAGGAATGCTAAATTGACCACACTGATCATATACTACATTGTGATATATTGTAGCGACGTGGCCAGATATTCCAGTTATGTATTCATTTTTGGTCTAGGTAGGCATATTCATTTTTCATTTCATTATACCCTTCACCACACTGTGGTACAGGGTATTATGTCTTTGTGCATATGTTTGTAACAGGCAAAAGGAAACGAGATAGACACATGGTTCCTTTTGAGAATATGCATAGAATCACTTTCTAAGTCGATTTATGCATGTCTGTCTGTCTGTCCATGTTAAATTGTAAACAAAGTACAAGTCGCATTTATGATCCGAATTGGATGAAATTTGGCTTAGGTCACTTATTCTGCCCAAGGACGAACCCTATTGAAATTGGGATATAGCTCACATATATATATTTTACCGATTTAATGTAAACGGTCCCTATATATGTTTCGATTTGCACGAAATTTGGTACAGCCTAATCATCTAGGTCTAGAATGATGTCTGCCAAGTTTCGTGAAAATCGGTCAAGATTTAGATATAGCTCCCACATATAGTTTCCTCCGATTTCATGTAAATGGTGCCACAAAGACCCTATATATATTTCGATTTGCACGATATTTGGCACAACGTCCTGAATTGAGCCTAGAATGATGTCTGCCAAGTTTCGTGAAAATCGGTCCAGATGTAGATATAGCTCCCATATATAGTTTCCTCCGATTTCATGTAAATGGTGCACCAAAGTCGCTATATATCTTTCGATTTGCACGAAATTTGGTACAGCCTAATCATTTAGGTCTAGAATGATGTCTGCCAAGTTTCGTGAAAACCGGTCCAGATTTAGATATAGCTCCCATATATAGTTTCGTCCGATTTCTTTAAATGGTGCACCAAAGTCGCTATATATCCTTCGATTTGCACGAAATTTGGCATAACGTTCTTAATTGATGTCTGCCAAGTTTCGTGAAAATCGGTCCAGATTTAGAGATATCTCCCTTTTACTACAGATTGATTTTAAGTAATTGACGTACTTAGGAACCAATATGAACAAAACGTTCTGAAATTAGTATAACCTAACCTGTGACAAGTTGGTTTGAAATCGCTTAATATTTGGATGGAGCTTCCATATATATTTTCGCCCGATTTCAAGTAAATTGGGCATCAAACTCCTCATATTAGTCAGATTGACATTAAATTTCGTACAACGTACAAAATTGAGCAAAGAATTACGTAGTTGCGTTTTCATGAAGTACAGACATAGCCCAAAGGATGACCTATTTATATTTGTTTG